GCAACCACGTGGTGGCTCACAACCATTCATAATGAGATCTCTTTTGGCCTGCAGGCATAACTGCAGGCAGAACATTGTGTGCAAAATAAATAAATAAATTCTTTAAAAAAATAGATAGATGATAGAGATAGATAGATAGATAGATAGATAGATAGATAGATAGATCATATTCTTTCTCCTCTCCTAACACTTCCTAGATCCTCCCCACCTCTCTACCCATCTAACTTCATGTCCTCCCTAAAAGAAAAAACAGAAACTAAAAAGACAGAAAGACACAAAAAATACCAAAACAAAACAAAATGCACACACAAGTGTTGGCCACCTACTCCTGGATATGGAACCTGACCTGCAATGAAGTGTGGTTGGTATAATCTGTGTAACTTCATTGAGAAAAATAAAAACTTATTTTCCTTTCCCAAACACAAACAGCTTCTGATTAGAGATGGAGCTTTGTATCTGCCCCTTTCTTCATGCTGGGATTTTGTGTGGCTTGAGTTTTTGCTGTCACAGTCTCTGAATTCATATGTGTATCAGCCCCATCTTGTCTGGACGATACTGTCTCCTTGTAAACACTTCTGATAAGCCTCAGATGGAGGAAGAAACTGGTACAAAGAATTCCCAACAGTTACACTTGGTTGCTGCTCTTCTAGAGGAGCAGAGTTCTGTTCCTACCACGCATCTCAGGCGGCTCACAACAGCCTACGACTCTAGCTCCAGGGAATCCAATACTCTCAATGGCCTCCGAGAAGACTCATACACACACACACACACACACACACATGAATACACACACACACACACATGCATGCACACACACACACATAAATAATGAGGACAAAAGAGAGTGTGGGAACACAAGAATTCATAATTTCTAACAGAGTTTATCGTATAATTGAACACAGAACTACTTTAATCTACCAGTTCATCGCTCAGCTAGTGGACATCTGCCAGCATTTCCAGCTAGCACAATCCTTCACCAGCAATGTCACAAAGATGAAAGGACAGAGTTCTAATTTGATTCTGTCGCTGTGATAAACATCATAACCAAAAGGAACTTTGGGTAAGGAGGGCTTATTTGGTTTATATATCTGTGTCACAGGCCAGAATTGATGGAAGCCAAGGCAGGAACTCAGGACAGGAACCTACAAGCAGGAACATGAATCAGAAACCGCGGGGAATACTGTCTACTAGCTTGCTCAACTACTTGACTTATACCTGCCCAGAAGTGGATCAGACCATCCCATATCAATCAAGAAAACTCCTGACAGACAGGCCCACAGGCCAGTCGACTGGAAGTTATTCCTCATATGAGGGTCCTTCTTCCCAGGTAACTCCAGGTTGTGTCCAGTTGATAAAAGTTAATTAGCAAACAGACACAATTCAGAGTGGAGCAAGATGCTCATTGGATTAAGCAGTCTCTTCTGTTTGGACCGTAATTATTCTGAATTGGTTCCAATGAGAATATATTGCCACGATAACCAGAAAACGTACGTAGGATATGCTTTATGGCACCGATGTTACATTTGTAGCTTTTACTGAGAATCTTAGTGCACAGAGGCCTCATTTTAATGCAGCTCTCCTGGGAACACCGCTCACATCTCTGTGGGAAAAGAGATGTTAAGGAATTTGTTCATTCAAGCGAGCACATTTCCAAAGGCTATTGTATGCGTGGAAGGATGCCTTTCTGTTTGTGATGCAAAGCATTTTCTCTCTCTTTATCTGGTTTGCTTGGTTATATAAGGGCTGTCGTAAACATAAACAAGACAACAAGACATCACATTGGCAAGCAAAAGTTGATTGGGAAGCACACCTGCTCTTGAAGGCCCTCCCTTTAAATAAACATTTCTTTACCACATCTTGCCCTGGTGTCCTCTCTCTCTCTCTCCTCTCTCTCTCTCTCTCTCTCTCTCTCTCTCTCTCTGCTTCTCTCCCCCCCCCTAGAATCCTCAAAATACTATTACTAGTACCCTCTTAACAGCCCTTAACATGAAACTGACCAACATGCTCAGTGAGTTCACTGTCCCTGTCTCACAAGTGTTGGGTACCCACACAGCCCAGCATACTTGCTGAGTTCACTGTTCCGACTTTAGCCAAGGGATGAGTTCCCACAGACAGAGGACCAGGTGCCTTTCAGTCCCGAATCACTGAATCTCTTCAGGTAAAGAAACCCAAAATGATGCCTTCCCCTATCAGAAATCAATTCTTAATGCTACTACTTGCATTACAAATGAATAGAATCATGGCTCTAGCTGGCTTGAATCCTCTTAATCTTGAGAGGGTTTAATATCTCTAAATCCTTTGAGAAGTAAAGGTGAAAAAGTAACCGATTCACATTTTAAGTGCTACACTGCCCCCTTGTGTATTTTGTGTTTGGTGAAAAGTCGCTCACAAAAAAAAAAGTAAAAAATCCAACCTTCTAAGACACTTCAAAGGAGTTTAAGACACTAGGACTAGAGAGAACCTTAAAATCTATCAAGACCAGCATGCTATTTCACACTGGGGAGAATTTCAGACCTGAAGGATTGTCTAATTTTCTTTTTCTTTTCTCTCTCTCTCTCTCTCTCTCTCTCTCTCTCTCTCTTTTGTTTGTTTGCTTGTTTGGTTGGTTGGTTTATCAAGACAAGGTTTCTCTGTGTAGCCTTGGTTGTCCTGGAATTCACTCTGTAGACTAGGCTGGCCTCGAACTCACAGAAATCAGGCTATCTCTGCCTCCCTGGTGCTGAGATTAAAGGTGTGTGCCACCATCACCCGGCCAAGGATTGTCTGATTTTTCAAGTTCATCCACTACCGGCTAACGTCAGAGCAAGAACTCTTGAAACCTCTCAAGGACTGGGGTATAGTTCAGTGGGAGAGTACTGGCCTAGAACTCATCTCTTAGAATGGGATGATAACCTGAAAAGGACAGAAACATTGAGGTGGTGGAGGCTTAAAGATCAGAATTCAAACATCAAATCTCCATGTCAAAACCTCCAAGCTTTGGTTCCCCTAACCACAAAAATGGGATGAAGTATTACAAAGATTGGCAAAGGGCTCTACAGGGCAATGTTTATGATCAATCCCTGCACAAAGAGTTCTTTGTGAGAGCTAACTGCCACTGTCAACTTGACTGCTTAGAAGATACCCCTTTGGGTGTGCCTGTGGGCAAAGTTTGTTTAACTGAGGAGGAAAGAGACCCCCTAACACTGGAGTAAAATGGGGGAAGGAGAAGATGAGCTAAAGGCGAGCATTCATCACCGCGTCTTGATGTAGAGGTAATATGACCAGCTGTCTCATGCTCTTGCCTCCAAAATTAGAATCCTTCTTAATACCATGCTTCCCCCACATGATGGACAGTGCCCTCAAACTGTGAGCCACAACAACTCCTTCCTTGAAGTACAAGAAAAGTAACCAATACGGATCATAATATAGTAACATACTAACTGGAATATAACCATATAAACAGCAGAATTGCATTCAAGTTGGAACTGCATTTTAGCTCTCTGGAAGAAGATTTTTAAAAGAATGACAATGGCAATGTAAACATAGCATTTCAGCAATGTAGTAAACCTCCATCCCTTGAGATAAATAAGTCTTAACAGAAATTACCATACAACGCGAGCATGCGCACAAAGCAATCAACAGGACTCTCAGGAGCGGTTTAGGGGAAAGCAAGACAGAACCTCACTTCTGCCGTACTATCCCAATTCTGTCCCATATTGTCCCTGTTAGGGGTTCTTTATCATGACAATATCAAGAGAGTCAGACCTGAGAGACAGGCTGCAATGTGGGGGTGAGCCAGATGATAACTGTGTCAACCCCGGCCATCATTTCATCGCCACTTCCTGTAAAATAAAGTCGCCTCTGCTGGGTCACACGAGGAATCCTGAGGAAAGCGCAACTGCTTCACCTGGTGTGTGAAGTGGCACCTGTCACGTGCTTAATCTTAGAGCAATGGTACACTTTAAACCTGTCACCAAAATGAGGAAGAAACCCAGGCGTAGAAAGCTGAAAACAGATCGAGACAGGGTGCTTAACTAAACAACATCCAGGTTTCATGAAATCTCTCTACTTCCCCTTATGTCTTCTTGGGCTTCCGACGAGCATTGCTTCATAAATTCCAGTGCCCCAGAACTCTTTGGATCACAAATAAATGTCTCCCATGAGACTCCCGGCAGCAAGATAGACAGAGCTTATCCCTAACGATGAGCCACTGAACAGGCCTCTCTCGGTTGGGTTAAAAGTAGTGGTTGAGGGCTGGAGAGATGCCTCAGCAGTTAAGAGCACCTACTGCTCTTCTGGAGGACCCCGGTTCGATTCCCAGCACCCACATGGCAGTTCACAACTGCCTGAAAATCCAGTTCCAGGCTATCTGACACCTTCACACCAGTGCACATAAAATATAGTTAAATAATTTTTTTAAAAAAGTAGTGGTTGAAGACAATTCTTATTTGCCAAGAAAATGAATAATATTGCTTACTCAGCTACAGTAATCCATGCAGCAGACATGCCGAACTGCTCTGTTCTGCTTTCCTGTGGTCTAAGACACAGGTTAAGTCTTCAAACCCCAAAGGCCAGCAATGTAAGTGAGTGGGCTCCATTTTAACGAGTGACTAGAACCATCAGCACACTTTAGCATTTGAATTTGGAAGGCACATTACCATTCTGATAACAAGCACTGAATGTGGAGCTTCAAATATTTACTGAACATGTCACTTCCTATGGGCCCAGCCCCAAAGAGTTACAAACATCAGAAAGGCACGTTGCTGGAGCCAACAAGAGTAGAAAGTCTTGGGAGGTAGTAAGGGGAAACATCATTGCTGTGATTGAGACAGTTCACACTGCTAACAACTGTGAGTCGTGAGCCCAGTTGGAATTTTAAGGAAATTAACCATAAGCAAGTAAACTCGCGCTCTTGATTCATTCCAACGGTTAGACTATATTCGCATCCAGAATAGGACAATAGAAGGGCTGTCAGAAACCGAAGGGGAGCTCCAGCTACATAAACCCAACAGTCAACTCACCATGAAACACACTGTTGTCCGCCAGAAAATGCCTGTGGTACTGCACACAGCCCCTCTTCTCGACATTCCAGTAGCTCATTGTTGTACGGTTTCTGGCACAGCATCAAAGCCAAATTGCCCTGTCGAGAGGAACAGAACGAGACAGAAATGAAGAAAACGGCTGCCACACGCTCACACTGGCAGCACCACGCTACTGGTTGCCTAGCATTAGGGACAACACACGGGGCTACAGTTTGGACCTGGACTCCTCCAGGCCCTAACAAATTTCCCACAAATCTACCCAGGACCTGAATGTCCTTTTGTTTTTTTGTTTTGTTTCATTTTTTTTTTGTTGCATACCATAATTCCTTCCTGCATCATTCTGAACTCAGTCACTTCTGTCTGCTGAAGAAATAAATCTATCATTAAGGAAATTTCAGGACCAGCTTGTGTGCTCCAGGCCTCACGTGCATTCCATCAGGTCCCCAACCAGTCAATCCTGGTAAGTGTCCTTCACTTTCACCAGGAGGTAAGCCATCATTTCAACTCCTGGATTTTGCATCTGTACCATCCTGCTGAGTTATGTGACCAACCCGTGAAGTGTTGACATTATTACAATGTCCATGTGGGTGCAGATACACCAAATCATAGCAAAGCTTGCCAGCCCTTCTTTCGGTTCATTGCATCCACTAATCCCTGTACCCACCCAGGCTTAGGATGTCACTAGAGCGGGGCCAGGCCTCCAGCATCAGTACTCACAGTACCTGCTGAGCTCCCCACCTCTGCAGAGGGCAAGGACTTGAGAAGCAGAAACCCGAGCTGATGAATTAAGCTACAGGAGCTGATGTGCGGAACCCTTTGCACAAGGCCGCCTTTGTTCACAAGACTTGGCTAAAGTGACTTTTCCGAATTCCAGCCTCCTTTCGGCTCACAAGGCCAGAAAAACACAAGCCAGGCTGGGAAGAAGCAAAACCCCCAGGTGGAAAAACGGTTTTGTCATCTGTCCTACCGGAACCGTCTGGGGTTTTCTAAGTGTACCCTAGGATGAAATCAGTGACTTAGTGACAAAAGCAAGCCAACGTTGTCTGTCACCGGGACAGCTAGTGAAGGCTCCTGGGGCGACCGTCCATCCACAAAGGGGATCTTATCTACATCCAGCCTGCCGGCCTCTCCACACAAACCTGAACTCCCTCCCCTTCTTTTTCCCTCACCCCTCCAGTTGAGAATGATTTTCCTCCTCTGTAAGGTTGAGCGAGTCAGAACACCATGTGGAGCATTGAGGAACATGACAGAGAGCAGCCGACGACAGAGACAACCCTACCTTTGTCCTCCGAAACCAACACTTCACATTATAAAGACGGCGGCTCCCAAGCATTCTTAGTTATAGAAATAGTGTAGTGAAAGACTGGGAACGTAGCTCATAAATAGAGTATGTGCTTAGAAGTGCAAGGCCCTGAACTTCATACCGATACCACGGATAAATAAGCAAAACACAATTAGATATGTTATTAATTTTTTTCAAAACTGGCCAAACCTGACAGTACTGAAATCCCCCAGTTTCCTTTCCCATTCTATCCCCTTCTTCCCTCGTTACATGTCCCTCTCCTAGAATAACTAGGTTTTTTTTTTAATATTTATCATTCCAGTGTTATGCCTAAATGTACTATTTTGAGGTCCTCTATATTTTTAAGGACACTACCCTTTTCCAAGAGAATAAGTTTTAGGAATTAACAGTAGTACTGCTCAATTACAAAAAAAAAAAAGTGTACTTGTCACATAGTATAAACACATTAATTTACATGGAATTGAAAAGAAGAACCTATCTCATTTTTCCTTGCTAATTCAACTTTGTGGTTTTGTTATTATGAGGTTTTGCCCCCTATATCCGTTGCTCTAAAAAACTAAGAAACCCCTAAGGTGTTTATGACTAGCAAATCGGCTGATTGTGCAGGGCTCTCATCCAGGCCTTATTAATCTTCTGAGACAGGTACTGTTATCTCTTTCCACCACACCAAAGAAGGGAAGATGCTATTAGAGAGAGTGATTTGTTTATGTTGCCAGCAGGAGGCAGAAATACAACCTTCAGTCATATCTTCAGGTTCCAAACTCTAGTATCTAACCACGATAGGCCATAAGGAACTAAGCCGTTAGGTGATGTCCTGTAGCCAGGCCCATGCCTGTATCCCAGAACTTGGAAGGTTGAGGTCAGACCGATACTGTGTTCAAGGTCATCCTGAGATACATAGTGAAATCCTGTTCAAAATCATAAATATCTGTGTGTGTGCGTGTGTGTATGAGAGAGGTGGGGGTGGAGGGAGAAGAGAGTGATGCCCCGCACCAGGTGAGAACACAGCCAGGAAGTCAGCTGTCTGCAACTGGAAGAGGGCCCTTCCTAGACACCAAATCTGACTGGGTCCTGGAATACTTAGCCTTGAGAACTCTATTTCTGTTATTTGTAAGACACATTGTCAATGGCATTTTCTTAGAATGACTCAAAAGGATTGGTGGCAGAAGACAGCATAGGTCTTTGGGTCTCACAAGGGAAGCCTGTAAAATCTGTGTCGTGCAAGCGTGAGGTCCTGAGTTCAATCCCCAGAACCTACAGAAAAAAAAAGTCATGTGGTGGCGGCACATTTGTAATTCTAGGACTGGGAAAGCAGAGACAGGGGTTCCTCAGGTTTATTAGCCACCTAGTCTACTTGGTGAGCTCCGGGCCAGTAAGAGACCATGTCTCAAAAAAAAAAAACAAGGCCAAGAGCACCCGAAGAACACTCAAGGTTGACCTCTGGCGTACACATGTGTGCACACACACACACACACACACGGACACACAAAGAACTTTAGATTTAGAAGAGCCAGGGCTACTATTCACTGAAGGAAGGCAACTAAAAGGCATGTTGAACTTCAGCTAAGTCAAACTTCTTCAGAAACCAAAAAAAAAAAAAAAAAAAAAAAAACGAGGCTCAGAATGCATGCCTAACTTGCAAGCTATCACTGCTAACTGTTAAAAAACTGCTGGAACCCAACCTTCAGGAGCAGAGCTCTTTTAAATGGGCTATGGGCCTATTTGCGTGCGCACAATGAGATGCAGCTGGGTTGCACCTACCAAAAGTCGGGATGCTTCTAAAATAGGTGCTTTTTTAACCTTATTTTACATCTTACAAAACATTCCACATCCCAGGGGGCCTATGTAATGTCCATATTATACCTAGAACTCTGTATAAATTCATGTGCATGTCACAGACTACGTAAGTCTATTTATTTTATGTGTATGGGTATATTGTCTGCATGTATGTCATGTATCACATGTGCACCTGTGTCCTCAGAGGCCAGAAGAGAGCATTAGATTCCCGGGAACTGGAGTTACAGATGGTTGACAGTAGCCTTGTGAGTGCTAGGAATCCAACCCCGGTCGTCTGGAAAAGTAGCCAGTGCTCTTAACCACTGAGTCGTCTCTCTGGGCCCCTATGTTGACTTATTTTGTTACCATTACATCATTTTTTATTCATTGTTAGTGTTTATGTGAGTTCACAATTGCCACAAAACCCATTCAGAGGTCAGAGGACAAGTATCAGGAGTTAGTTCCCTCCTTCAACAAAGTGAGTACTGGGCATTGAACTCGGGTCATAAGGCTTGGCAGCAAGTGCCTTTACCCAGAGTCATCTCACTAGAGTGCATAAATTCCTGATCGTTACAGTGATCACAAAATTATTAACTTAAAAGAATATCAGAAGTAACCAGTAGTTATTAAAGTTCTGTTTCAAAGCACAGCTAATGTGGGATTTTTGTTTCTGTTGCTATTGCTTCTGTTTGGCGTCTTGTTGTGTTTGTGAGACAGACTCACTGTATAGTCCAGGCTGACATCAAACGCACTATCTTGGCTTCAGTTCTATTGCTGTGATAAAAACCCTGACCAAAAGCAACACAGTGGAGAAAGGGCTTATTTGTGGTCACGGTTCCAGGTCACAGCCCATTATTCTGAGGAAGTCAAGCTGACAGGTGCTTAAAGCTGCTGGTCACATGACAACCATTGCCAAGAGCAAAGAAATGAAGGCTTGTGTTCAGCTACTTTTCTCTGTTATTCTTATATAGTCGAGGGTCTACAATCAGGTAATGGTGGTTGATGCCCAATTCCAGGTTGGGTCTCCTACATCAATTAAGGCAATCAAGAAAAGCCCCAACAAACATCCACAGACCTGCTTGACCTAGACAAATCCCTTGCAGAAACTTTTCCCCCGTGATTCTAGGGTGTGTCACCTTGGCAAAACAAACGCAACTTGCAATCCACTTGCCTCTGCCTCCCACGAACTGAGATTACAGGTGTGTGGCACAATGCCTAAACACATTTCTTTACTTTTGGCATTTTTATTTGTATTCCCATGACCAAAACTATCCATGAAAAGACAGTCAGGAAACCACCTAACACCAGTACCAAACACATACACAAAATGGAAAGGATAGCACCTTTTTCTAAGAAAACAAAATATTGGGAATAATAATCACTTGTCAAACATCTTAAATGCTATATACAAAAAAAAAGAAAGAAAAGCCTCCATGCCCAATCTACATAATTAAGTCTGCCTAAGAAGTTGCAGGCATGTGGCATGGACACTCTCCACTATCTGTGTTTCCCTCTGAGACACTCCTCTATTTCATCCAAGAGATACAGGTGCTACGGGCTCGATTCAGGTGGTGTGTGACCTGGGAAAAGCAATACGGGCATCTTCAGGGACACAGTACATGAGATTCTCATGGCCTGCTCTAGACCACTGAGTTAGTGAGCTCTAATTCATGTATGAGACACACAAATTCCTTTATTCGTCTTGATGTTGTGGAGACCTGCGCCTCAGGGTCTAGAACTTAGAGCCACTATCCTTTGAATAGAAGAAGTGAGACGCCTAAGTCCTATTGATACCGAGAGCACCTGAAGCTAGGGCGACCCCTGCACCCGTGTGTTAAACAAGCCTTAAGTCTGCTTGTTGGTTTGCTTAGTTTTGTTTAAGTCGCAGGGGAACGCATTTTCTACCAATTGCAGCCAGAATGAAATATGTCACCATAGCAGAATGTGGAGAGCTACCTGGCAGTCATGAGCCCTCTCTGCCTGGCTTCAATTCTGACTCACACATAACCCGTTTTTTAA